TATATATATATATATATATATATATATATATATATATATATATATATATTGTTGTGGGCCCTCAGGTTTGGTCCGATTTCACTTTTGGTCCCCCTTGTTCCAAAGTGAACAAAGTTCACCTCCAAGTTTCAATTTTAAACACTTTTAGTCTTTGCCGTCAAATTTCCATTAGCAAGTAACGTAAAACATTATTTTGGGGTGAAAATTGAAATTTTAATTTTTTTGGGGCTGAAAAATAATTACAAATTAAAAATAGACTACTTATAATTAAATTTTAATAATATTAAGTATAATGAAATTTATTTAATTATTTTTTTTAGTATTAAAAAAATAATCATAAGTATAACTATATTAAGTAATATTCACAATCATTTATTTAATTAACTTTTTTTATTATTAAAAACAAAAGAATCGATAGGGTTGCTTCGGATTTTTTTATTACAAACGTGGCCCCAAACTTTTTATCATAGTGGAAAAATAAAATCTTTTTGGCAAAAAATAAATTATCATTAAAAACTTAATTATAAGTACTATAATTATAATAATATGAAGTATAATAAAAATTAATTAAAATTAATATTAAGTATGATTAAAAATAAATTTTTTTATTATTAAAAATTTAATTATAAGTAGTATAATTATAATAATATTAAGTATAATAAAAAATAATTTGTTTGTTTTTTTTTTTTTTATTATTATTAAAATGTATAAGTAGTCTATTTTTAATCGGCTTAATTCCACTTTGCACCCTTGAAATATACTATTTTGGCACTTTGCACCCTCAAAATAAATTAATAGCACTTTGCACCCTCGAAATACAATAAATCATGCATAATGCACCCCAAATGATTTTTTAAATCTAAAAAATATAAATTTAATATTTGTAGTGATATTTTTTTAGGATGCCAAATGTCAAATATTTTTTTTATTCATCAATCATTTTGAAACTATAAAGTTCAAAAATAAAAATACATTCCATCAACATATTTCAAAATTATATTGTTTTATCAAAATAAAATATTTTACGAAAAAAAATCATTCAGCTATTACGTTATCAAGTTATCTGAAAATTATTTTTTCTTCCAAATATTTTCACCTAATATTTTACAAACAGTGACATAAAAGATCCACAATCGATTAATTTAGTGATAAATATTATTTTTTTTTCTTTTGTAAGATAATGTAGAATCCGGTGTAATTTTTATTTTTTCGCACTTTGTCCGCTCGAAATTAGGTTTGAGGTTCAAGAAAACAACAATTTTTTTTTTATTTTGTACCCCAAAAAGAAAAACACCAATGAAAAATAAAATTGCCTTTATTATTCAATTGAGGGTGCATTGTGAATGATTTATTGTGTTTTGAGGGTGCAAAGTGCTATTATTATTTTTCGAGGGTGCAAAGTGCCAAAATGGTATATTTCAAGGGTGCAAAGTGGAATTAAGCCATTTTTAATCTGTAATTATTTTTCAGACCTAAAAAAAATTAAAATTTCAATTTTCACTCCAAAATAGTGTTTTCCGTTACTTGCTAACGGAAATTTAACGGCATGGACCAAAAGTGTTTAACATTGAAACTTGGAGGTGAACTTTGTTCACTTTGGAACAAGGGGGACCAAAAGTGAAATCTGGCCAAACATGAGGGACCAAAAGTGTAATTATCCCTATATATACGCATTCAGTAATAAATACATGATACATAGAATGAGAAAATCCAAAAGTAATTCTAACATTGAACAAAACTAGTCCTCAACAGTCAATTAAACAAACATCAATTCTTCATAAACATCTCCAAAAAAACATATAGACAATAAACAAAAGCCAGACAAAAAAAATATAATTAATGTCAAATAGTGCATTTGCTTATTTCTTCTTGCCTGCTTTACCCTCCTTTCTTCTCACAATTTCATCAGCATATTTCACTCCTTTACCCTTGTACGGCTCCGGGGGTCTCCACTTCCTAATCGAAGCGGCAAATTGACCGATTGCCGATTTGTCGTACCCAGTAACTGCAATTTTCGTATTTTCGTCAACTTTCACCTGCAGCCCGTCCGGGATTGTCATTCTGACTGGGTGAGAAAACCCCAGGTTAAGAACAATGTCCTTTCCTTCGACTGTGGCACGATAACCGGTGCCCACTAACTGCAGTTTCTTCTCGAAACCTTTCGAAACACCCACCACCATGTTATCGGTTAGGGTCCTGTAAAAATCCAATAGTCATATGAGAAATTCAGTTGGAAACACGGGAGATTACCTTTTTCAAGAATCGGCAGAGTTTATCTATAAACATTTTCCGAGCAATTGCATGAAAGATCATAGGTACTTCAGTATTTGCTTGAGGCTTATATCATCATTTACAAGTAATAACAATAACAAGTAGAGAATGACCCGATCGGTATAACGAAAAAGATAACAAGAAAACAGAGAATCTAGAGGCCATCAGAAGTTATCTAATTTTCAAAAAGTGTAGATATCATAAATTCCATTTTTCCGATTACGCTACTTTATCCCTAAACTAAGAAGAATAAACCATGTATCCAAACGCCAATTGTTCGAATAACATGTCGCGGAGAATCTAGCGTCAGCATCCCAAAAGATAGGATCTCTTAACATAACAAATCATGCTTTTATACTTGGAGATAAAAAAGCAAGTGGCAAAGAGTAAACATCGACAAGGAAAACGGAGAGAATAGAGAGAAATTGGGAATTGCCTGAATAAGCCATGCATCTGGTTGGCTCTTCTAGTCTCGACTGCCTTCCTCACTCGTAAAATTCCAGAATCGTCCTTGTCGAGCAGGATCTCCCGTGGGTAAGTAATAGCGAGCTCTCCAAGAGGTCCTTTCACCTTCAAATCCTGGCCGTCCATTACGAGGGTCACATTCGACGGCACTGGAATCGGCTGCTTCCCGATTCTAGACTCTTTGCACTCTACTGTCTTTCTCACAACAGCAAGCCGAGGTGCAGAAATCCCCGAAACACGAATTCCATTTGTTTCCCCAAGAAAAGCGGACCTCAAGTAACTGATTTGAAACCAAAACATACGGCGAAAAAAGCATCACAATCATGAATACAATTAATTACATTCTTGGAAAACACGAAAATTTATTACTACAGTGACCTGGATTGTATGGGAGCACCAATTATCGAAGCCATTGCTCAGCTAGAGCCCGAATTAAACGATCGCCAATATTCCAAAGCCCCCCCTGCAGTAACAAAATCATTCATCTTGGTTGGACAATATAATTTTCACTTCCCCTCCCTGTAAAACTACAATTATTTCCAACATAGCTTAAACTCAACAAGAATACAAATATACAATGTACAAAACCCAAACAAGTACATTTACTTTTCTTGACCCTTGCAGAATTACATATACTCTCTTAGAACATTCGTCGAACACTTCACGTACAATTTTACAACTTCCAAACAGCAGCTAGTGGAAGATAAATCCAAAACCCCCACCAGAAAATTCAAAGAATTCATATCATTTTCCAGTTCCGGAGAATCACCCGAGAAGCATTTTCAATTTCAAAACATCAAGCAAAAAATAAACACACACACACACACAGAAGAAGAAGAAACATACGAACATACAGAAACCACGAAATATGTATACATATATACGCACAGCAATGTATAATGAAAGCAAGAAAGAGAGAGTGCAGCAGTACCAGAGGTAGGAGAGACGCAGAGACTGAAGAGAGAGAGAGAGTAGGGAGAGAGAGAGAAGTTAGTTGTTTGGGAATTTCACACCCCAGGGGATAAGATAACCAGTATTTTTTATTTTTTATTTTTTTTATTTTTTTCTCCTTTAGGTAGAAATTCTTCCGACAATTTTTTATTTTATTTTTTTATTTAGGATAAAATAGCACTTAACCCCTCTGGTTTAATATTTGCGCACATGACACCCTTGTACTTTCAATATAAGCATATGACCCGTTGTAGTTTGAATTGTTTGCACATGTTCCCTTGTACTTTTAATTTAAACACATAACCCCTATGGTATTCCACTTGGTAAATAATCATGCTCGTTAGGAAGATGAAATTTTTGAAATCACAAGGAGGTTATGTCCTTATGTTAAAATATTGAAAGTATGGGGACTAATGTGCATAAAGTTCAAACCACAGGGCCAATAATTTTGAATTGGACTAAATTATAGCATAGAATTAGGCCCATCCTTTTGGTTTAGTGAAAGGGCCCTAAAAATCTTATGGCCCATAAAAGGCCCAATAATGATAATCGAAAAGAAGAATTAAATAATCAGCACGTGCGAGTCACGTGCATCGGCCATGTTTTAATTTTCATGTTTCATTCCTTCCTCAGAAATTGGATGTATCGAAAATCTTTTAGGCAGCCAGCCTCATAAAACCCGCGAATTGTTGTACGATTTTCGAACACACAAATACATACATATATATATACACACAGAGGGAGAGAGAGAGAGAGAGAGATAGAGAGAGAGAGAGAGAGATAGAGAGAGAGAGAGACGAACAGAGGAGTAAATCCGAAGAAATTGAGGTGGAAAAGGGGGGTTTAAGTAGCCGACAAGATCAATGACGGAGGATAGTTGTCCTAGGGTTTCACCATCTGAATCCGATTCATCGAAGACGAAGCAAAGGTGCGGTAATTTCGACTTAATCAGCGTTTTTTTTTTTTTTTTTTTTTTTAATTTTTAATTTTTAATTTGACAATGTAGACAGGGTTATTATATATTAGTGCTGCTCTCTCTCAGGATCGTGTTGAATTTAGTTTCAGTTGTGGTGAATGAGAGTCCTGATGCAGCAATAACTTTTCAGTATTAGCAGAAAGGAGATGAATTTTATTAGCAGATAAATAGAGTAATGTTGGTTATAATTTATATAATTGGTATTTTAAGAACTTGAAATCGGAGAATTAAGTTTCCACAATTAGTCACACATCCTTATAATAGGCCACTGTCCAATAAAATTGCACCAGTAAATGATAAATATAGCCAAAATATGCTTAGGTTATTAACGACTGTAGGTTGTTCTTACAGAAAAAAGAGGAAGTGGGATCAGCCGGACGAGTCGTTGGTATCTGGAATAGCAGTTCCGGGGATTTATCCAGTGGCGAACATGGGGTCTTTGGCCGGGATAACTCTGCCTGCAGTTTCTTCTGGCGCTTCTCTTGCAATACCTTTTTCCAATTCTAGTGTCGTCCCGCTGCAAGCGGTTCAGGTGCCTTTGCAGCAACATGCTGCTGCCATTGTCCAAAAGCTAATCCAAGTAAGGATAGTTCTCAAATTGGCACGTTCATTTACCCTAGTCTGGTGGAGTACAATTGATTTAGTCACTGACAAAATTTCCCCGCTTGTAATTTAGTTATTTCGTATTTTCCAAGTCATAGTTTTCAATAAACCAAACTCTTTCTCCCCCTCTTTTTTCTGTAATTTAATGAAATATGTTTTTCTCACGTTGTTACTAAAATTTGTTTAGTAATGCTTCTAGGCTCTAAATGAAGTTTTGAATTCCTATTCTCACTTGTTTTTTAAATATATAGCCAAAGATCCAAGATGAATTAATTGCTAGAGAAATTGTCATAAACGATGCTGACTCTGCTATTCGTTATAAGCTCACAAAGCGGCAAACACAAGAGGAGGTAAATTTCAATAGTTTGGCTTATGTAATTAAAAGTGCTTCTCTAGAAACACCAATGACAACAAATTGCCTATGGTCCCTAAGGGTTGGCAGTTGATAAGTTATTTACCATTTTGCAGATTCAAAGGAGCACTGGGGCTGTGGTAATTACTCGGTAAGTAGGTTTCTCGATGATAATTTCTTTTGATTTACTTTGCATTTCGTTCTATATGATTCACTTTGAAGTGGAATTTATAGGGGGAAATATCGATCTCCTAATGCGCCACCTGATGGGGACAGGCCCTTGTATCTTCATATATCTGCGGCTTCCCATGTAAGTAGTTTGTAAGACCTTAAGTTTTGATGTCGGAGATGATGCATTATTATGGTTGTGAAGTACTTTGGTAAGACAATTTTTGTTACAGTCACCTGTGCTGGAGTATGTTATCTTAGAGAGCACCAGTCTCCAAAACTAAGTAATGTGAGACAAACTAATGTGTTTAATCGAGAAATTACGATCCAGATCGAACCAAATGTTAATGGGTAGACAAGATATCTTTCTATTGATCTAATAATAACTGCACACAAAGAAAATCTCTTCCAAATATAGATTTTGTCTTGTCTATATGCTTATTCTTTTTTATGATTGATTTTTATATACAAAATGACTACTGAAGTACTGATTGACAAAACCGTCTCTGGAATGCATGAAGTATCATTTACAGAAGACGTCATCATTGAATTTATTGTTTACAAGCTTGTCTTGTGAACACTTAAGATGTCCCTCTATTGGTATCTTGTAATTCTGTGTTGGTTTCAAAATTTGCACTGATGTTTATTTTTTAGGATTAATGATTTTTGGATTGATGATTATTTTTTTATCGTTCTGCAGAAATACCTCACTTCATTTCAAATGTGATTATTGGATCCGATTTTTTTTGAGAATTTGGTTTACATGTTCTTAACGTGTCATCTGCATGTTGAGCATTTTCATCTTTCCAGTATTAAATTTCACTTTTTGTTACTTTTGATGTACTTTTGTTATGTTCACATGTTATGTTGTTGCTTCAGCTGGAAACAACAGCAGAACGAATCAAAGCAGTTGATCAAGCTGCTGCTATGGTGGAAGAAATGCTGAAACAGCTAACAAGGAACATTGGAGCTAAGGTTATTCTGGCTCTTGAGAGATATTAAGAGCTGCATCATTTTGAGATTTTTTTACTGACGGTATGATAACTGTGCCTCAGGTTGATCATTTGATGAAGACCTGTGTCTTTCTGGGATTTGAGGCGGACCCATCGTTCAACATAGTTTCTCGCATCCGTGGTCCAAACGTGAGCCTTTTCTTCATTGGTGTTATCTCACTCTTCTTTGCTTCATCTTGTGTGCTTCTTTTAGTTTCTATGTTTCTGTCTTGTCTTTTTTTTCTGTGGGTGGGATTGTTGGCTGTTGGTTCCTTAGATTATGGAGGATGTGGATGGAAGACTATGTTAAGACATGGCATCTACACAAATTGAGTTGCAGTTTTTGCATCTCCATTTATCTTTTATACTTACTCTGTCCATTCCGTTTGTGACATGGCATCCATTCCGGCATTTTTTGGGATAGTATGGTGAATTGGGAGGTGGGAAAGGAGAGTTTGTAGTTTAGTTTCTTGGTCTAATATGTTTGTATCTGAGAGCCTTATGATTTATGTTAGAGGTATTTTAGTGCTTTAGTGTCGCACTACATGTCCTTATTTCGACAACTGTGCCAGATCTGTGCATAATTGTTTATCTAGATTTTGATTGATGGCTCAAGTTTGTTTTCTCACATCAAAGATAAGAGAATCTAATGTTTGAAGCTTTCTCTGAAATCTCCATGCAATCTGGAGTTCTTTTCTGTTGCTGCTGGTTGGGTTTTGTAAATGCAGGACCAGTATGTAAACCACATTATGAATGAAACAGGAGCAACTGTATTACTTAGAGGACGGGGTTCTGGATATTCTGAAAACGTGAAATATGAAGGTTGGTATTATGGTGTATTCTGCTTAGCATTTGCTGTTATTGTGTCCTGACCAATTGATAATCTTTCTTCTGCTGTGCCCTGCTTCTAGAAACACAACAGCCGTTGCATCTCTTGTTATCAAGCAATGACGCAAAAAGTCTTGAACATGCAAAGCTCTTAGCAGAAAATCTTTTGGATACAATTAGTGCCGAGTGCGCTGCATCTAGGTAATAGATTCACTGATGTTTGTGTTAACTGTGTGAATCATAAATGGCAGTACTCCATCTGCAGAGCTTTTATCAGTTATGCATACCTGTGGACCTGATCTTGACTATCTAACTTCACTGTTATATTATATCTTGAAAGATAATTTATTGTTTTTTTAGGTACTGATAGCGTCTGCATTTTTATATGCTAAGATAAACACTTTTCTTCGTTTACTCAGTTTTGTGCTCGACTATCTCACAACTTTAACATGCTTTTATGAATTTACAGTTTCTTGCATTACTTTTTTTTCAAAAGAAATATTACGGTTTTCTAGAATCTTCTAGACCTAAGCACATAGTGCACGAATTATTGTGCATGCATGATAAAAAATCTAGTAAACATTGCTTTTACAATGATATGAAGTGGAAAACTCCCTCTTTTTGGAGGATAATCTATTCATTTTTCATGGTCTATGTGCTATAGGGTATCTTCGTCTAAAGTGTATGGTGCTGTTCCTCCTCCACCTCAGTTACAGGTGGGGGTCCAGAGTCCTGGAAGGGCATCAGAAACGAATGATGTAGCTTCTCTCAGTTCATCTGCTTTGATCGATGGGAGCAGTGGACTTCCTCAATCAAGCACTGGTTGCTATCCTCATGGGTTGCAGAGTGGAACAAGCTATATTGGTTACGGTGGCATATATCCACAAGCAACGCCATTGCAACAAGTGGCGTTAGCCCTTAGGCGGTCCACCTCTCCAGTGACTGCTACAGTTGCTCCTGCCACCACAGCAGCAAGCACAGGACCACCACAGGAGGTATCCGACGCTGCAAAGTATAAGCGTTCCCAAAAGCGAAAATTTCAGGAGTTGCCTGCTGCTGCAAAAGGGCCAGCAAATATTAACCAGGTATACAGCATTTTCCTTAATTATAGGCAATGTATATAGGGATTGTTTTTGGCTTGTTGCAGTTTCAGGATTATAAATATATTTTATCAGCTGCTTAATATACTTTCCGCCTGTGCATTATGCCATACCTGACAAGAGATATGGAGAAGTCTTAAGCCTATGGGGCAAGAGAGTGTTAATTGGGACTTTGAGTGATCCTGTTATTTCGTCTTTTGTTTTTGTGATTGGTACAACATTTCTGATGAATTTAATACGTACCTGAAATAGTTGCAGGAAACAGTTTGGGTTTAATTTGCGCATTTTCTAGTGAGTTGTATGATTTTGAAATTTGAAAAGCATGTTTTCCACTAGATGATTTGTACTAGTTAATAGCCATTTTGTAACTTATCCTTTCTGCTTCTTGCCCAGAATTAGTGCATTCATGCACTCTGGTGGACTTTTAGACCATAATTCGAGTATTGACTATCAAAGTCCGTCGTTTTCTAAAATGTTATTTGTTGTGCACTTCCTACATTTTTTATTTAACTCCTGATGCTTATACTTCTTATTCCAGGTATTTTCACTGACCTCTATGAAGCTTACAGGCTGATACTGGACCTCTGTGTTCGATATTTGTATGTTTCACAGGGTTTCTAAAAATGAGGTGGCATGAGATAGCACTCGTTGTCTCGTTGATTTATTTCTGGTGCTGGTCCAGATATTGTGCTGTTTTAGATATCTAGATGAAATGCACACAAGCACTACTTTCACCCACAGTAGTTTCTCCATTCTCATTGATGGATTGATTGTCCAGTTTCTAATGATTCATGTCGATACTTGAAATTTTAAGATGCTGATAAATTGAAACATAGAAGCATGGCGCTGCTCTACCGTTAACTCAATATACATACTAACTACATCACTTAAACTTTGAGCAATAAAATAATGGTCTTATGAAGTGTTTGTGATTTACACGATTTATGATACCATACTTGTGCTAACTTGAGGGATCTTTTATATGCTTTCCCAGAAGAATATACAGGTATCAGAATTTCCAATGCCACGTGATCTAACTTCACATGTAGGTGCAAGAGATATTTCAGTTGTGCAAGATCCAAAGAAATTCGTTAAGCCATCGACCAATGGGATGCCGCCGCCACCTCCTAGGAGTTTACCACCATCCTTCTCTGCCCCACCAAAGTTTAGCTCCACTACCAAAGTGAATGGAGACAATAAGGGAACTCAGCTCTCCAACTCTGAAGTTGTCCCTGGTAAAAAAAAGATTCTTCTTATGGCTCTTGTTTCAATCAGTATATTTTCATTGTGATTTTGTTGATGACAAATGCTTCCACTTTCGAAACACTATTGTCTCAAGTGACGACTTTTTGCCAGTTTTTCTAGTTTTGCTCCTGTTATACTCTTTTTGTTACTACTAAAGTATATTGCATTAGATACTTTGATCAAGCTAATGGAATATGGAGATGATGATGATGATGATGATGATGACCTCGAGGAAACAGCCGAACAACCCATGGAAAAGCACTCGAGCAATCCAGCTATACCGAAACCTTTCTGGGCTGTTTGAAATATGCATTTCACATCTCCTTTGACCACCAATAATGGTGGTTTCTTCTACGACCTATTCAACCGGATATTCTCTATCCCAAAAATGCAGACTGAGTGAAGGATATGTTTACGTGCATTATTGGGAATTACAGACTCCACCTCAGCACCAGATAGAAGAAGGGCATGTACTTTTACATTAGTTGTAGAATTTACGGATTAGAGAAACTCTGATATTTTTTCGCTTCTTTAAATGTATGTTACCTGCATCAGGTGAAACTCTTTACACCATTGTATTTGTATTAGTGGGGATGCATTGCAAAAATTTCTTCCTCGGAAATTATTCCGTCTCCGATGAAACTCTTCACAATCACACCATTATTTTAGTGGATGGGTTGCAAACATTCATTTTTCTGAAGTTATTAGTCATTGATTATGGAAGAGGAAAGAAGTTTGCAGTCAGGTATAAAAAAATCGAGCTTGTAACCACAACCAAATTGCATATAGCATAATTCACTAAACGCAGTCAGGCCCCCGAGGAATTACCGTCTCACACATCGATATCCTGGAACAACATATTTATACCAGGATAATGAAAAATCCCTTAACATAAAGCATCTCTACACTTATTTCTCAAAAAGCTTGAAACAACTAGAACCTAAGAAGAAATATCCAAGTTTTACCCATATTAAGGCTCGAGAGTAGAGAATCATCTCTCTTTGCAACAAAGAAAGTCTACCGACAAAAGAAGTATTCAAGAGGAAAGCTAGGATAACAGAATCACATAAATAACCGAAACAAAAGAAGAGGAAAAACATTCAATCATGTTCAAACTTCCCCAAGAAGTCTCCTCTATTGTTGAGCATTCGATATTATTCAGACCCTAGTATTCGCATAATCATTCGGCTCGTCATTATCAAAATCCTTGCTGCCTCCATCCACCAAGTCTTGTCCAAATTCGTCATTTCCAGCTGCAACGCCACCGAGTGATCCACCGATCGGACCTTCTGTTTCTTTATCTAAGAGGTCAGCAAAGCCAATTCGACCACCAGTGTAATTACTCTTCCTGCCTTCACCAAAATTCTCATCACCCTGTAATGAATCCTCACCAAATCCGCCGCCACTGCCTCCTCTAACAGGGTAGCTGTCGGTCCCACCATATCCACCACCTCCACCAGTGTAGCTGTTAACGCCACTATATCCACCGCCTCCACTTTGATATCCACCGCCTCCGCTTTGATAACCACCGCCTCCGCTTTGATAACCACCGCCTCCGCTTTGATATCCACCGCCTCCGCTTTGATAACCACCGCCTCCACCTTGATAACCACCACCTCCGCCTTGATAACCACCGCCTCCGCTTTGATAACCACCGCCTCCGCTTTGATATCCGAAGCTCCCAGTTCGTGGCTTCTCAGTAGCATAATTCACCCTAACCGTTCGGCCATGCAGATCCTGAAAGAATTCATCATTAGACTTCACAATTCAGGCACATAAAATCAAGTACAAGATTATACACTGAAAAGTTAGCTCCACTAGAATCTATGAACTTAGTTGAGAAAATTGAAGCCAATGCGTGCATTTTCATTTTGTTTAATCATATAATACTGTCGAACAGCATATATAAAAGATCAGAAAAAGATCTTACATTCACACCTTTATCTAAGTTCTACTCGAACCTATTTATAACTCCTTCAGAAATATAAACTTTAGCATATTCTTGCCTACTGCAAGTTTTGAAATTTCAATAGAAATTTCAAGTAAATTATTCTTCTATTATGTCTAATGATCACCAAGCAGCCACAAATAAATTCGTGAATATGTTCACATGTTTTCCCTCAACGAAGAGGACTATGTTCATCAATGGAGATAAACACACAGGAATTTTTAGTAAAAAGTAATTTAAGTGTACCTGTCCATCATATGCCTGGATGGCACTGGAAGCAGCCTCGGTTGACGTGAAAGTAACAAAGCCGAATCCACGTGACCTGCCAGTCTCACGGTCCAAAATAACTCTAGCTGCAGATAATTGAAAAAATGTACATTAAACGATGGAATAATTTCAAAAAACATACATAACAGCCTAAGAAGTGCCCTATTAGTTCAGCTAGTTAAGTACAGTGAGAGCCTACATACCATTGACATGAACAATTTCAGATTATATTCGATTATCTTTATTATCAAATATCATTTTCTTATTAGCACTCACAGCACAAACTACCTTCATTCAGTAATTTATTACAGAATCACAGCTAACATCTAAATAACTATATAAATAAGCAAAAGATGATACCTTCAACCACTTCTCCGTACTGGGAGAAAGCTTCCCTCAAACTCATCTCATCCGTGCTATACGAGAGACCTGCAGTAAGAGAACAGCATAATGTAAGGAAAGACTCGAAAAATAAGTCAACTCAGTCACAAATCATAGGACCATCTCACCTCCAACAAAGAGCTTTGAAGATGACGACATGCTTCTTATTGTCTGAAAAAGAGAAGCATTTGGTGCAGACATTTCCGTGGCTACATGCCTGGTCACAGTTTGTTTCAGCAAGCCGCTAACTCTGCTCAGAAAAGCCATTGTTGTACCTAACAAACCCCAATCCACCAACAAAAAAAAAAACATGAGACAACAAATAGTTATTAGCTATAATTGAAATGAGCACTAATCGAGTCGAAAGCAAAATATCATATTCGTGTATGTAGAAAGAAACGCATGAAGGCAGCTCATACCCAATCGATTCTAGTCGTATGAATAAACATTAAACAATCTATACGGAAGAAACAAAATTTCTGATAAAATTACACCAAATCAGAATTACCAATTATTATATAATAATTAATAAAATACAACGAAGATCATCGCCCCCAAATATCAAATACCACAACCAGAAAAAGATGACAAAAAAAACAAAGAGTCGAAGATAAATACAACACTCTCAGATAAAACTTCAACCACCGAAATGATTCCATATTTCATAATCAGAAATCAGAATCAAAACAACAGAAGTTGCAAAAAAAGTGAAATCATAAACCCTAAAACCTCGATCAGATTTCAGATGAACATCCGAATATAAAAGCGATAAGCGATCACAAAACGAAAATCAAAATCTTACGGGGGAAAGGTTTAGGGTTTTATCAGGAGAAAAGAAAATACCTCCGAGTAAAGAGAAGTGTTTATCAGATTTTTTTTCTCCACCAAGACTGTGTGTGAGTTCTGCTACACGACGAGGGTTTTAGCCCTCTAGAATTTATCAAGGGCGAGTATCGTCTGTGAGCGAGTGTATTCTATACTGTGTGCCCGATTAGATCTTGTCCGTTGATTTCAGGCAAGATAGCTTGCATAAGACGGTAGTCAACGGTCAACCACAAAATTATTGGTCTGCAAATGGGCTTAGGCTTATAACTGACTGTACCACTGGATATATATACACAAATGGGCCCGTCTAGTTAGTTCCGCGGCCCATTTATGTTTTTTTCAGTACCAATATTGCATTTTCCACCCATATTTACTGTTAATTTCTAACAATACCCTCCATATTATTTTTTTGTTCAAATTAGACCACTTCCTGAGGTAAAATCAAATTGCGGAAAAACACATCTTGTTTGGATGATTACAACAAACCCCACCAATTATGCATTTTCTTACGAAAAATTCCCTCCTTCAATAGGTAAATTTGAAACCGTAAGGGTGGACATGTAAGACAATACATAGTCGAGAGGTAGTTGTAATTACACAAACATGAGGGGTTTTTTCGTAAATTGATCTTACCTCAGGAGGTCGACCGTAATTTGCCCTAAGTTTTTTTGTTACCAACAACAGTCCATATGATTCAAATTCTTTTAAAGCAATGCACAACAAATACCCAAAACTGCAAAACTTGTATAACCAAAATATGTGACAGAAGTCATTACAAGAATTACTATATAAATGCCACTCTTCCAAAATGACAAATAAATCTAAAAATTCAAATAAAATAAAATCAAGAAAATCATTTTCTATGCCCCCCATGCAATGATTTCTGAGACCCTTCAAAAAGATCCAAAAGAAGATCCTCCAAATCATCAGCACTGTACTTAATGTGCTTCTCACTAATATGATTAATATGCCTCCCGACGAAAGTCCGATAAGCCTGTATCACCTTCAACGACGTCGATATGTGCAGGTCGTCTCTCAACCGTCCATCCGGGATCGACCACCCCGATTGATTCTTGTAGACCTCCTCGAACGCGGCGTAAAACCCTTGCAGCCTCTCCTTCAACAGCGTCTTCGATATCGAGTTCGAGCCCGGGTTTTGAATCCCCTCGTCTTTCAACAAGAATAGGATCGAGCTCCAAGTGGCTCTCTCGTAGTTCATCGCGTGCTGCTGGAATTTCCAATTCCGTTTCCTTATCCACTCGTCGCCCAGCACGATCCTCAGTTCCGAACCCCGAACTTTCTCCGCCATGTAGTGGATGTTGTTCATTAGAAAGAGATTTCGAAGCGCCTCGTCTTTGTATAAGCTCGACTTGACTTCGAGGTTGGTTTCGAGTATATCGAAGAAAGATCGGAATTGCGTTCCGGTGGGACCCTCCTCCTCCTCTTCTTCCTCTCGAGGGGTGTTCTCGTCCTTTTCGTCCCTCAAAACCTCGTCGAGGGTTTTGGTGTAGTCGGTCAACGTCTTGAAGTAGTTCATCACGTACTTGGTGAGGGGGTGGACCCCACCTCCGGGGAAAGGGTTTGTCGAGACGCTCGATGCGACGGTGTTCTTGAATTCGAGAAAAGTCGCCTTTGCGCATTCGCCCAATCTTTTAAGGATGTCTTTGCATTCTGTTGTAACGCATGTCCCGGCCTCGCCGGAGTATAGTCCGGCAATGTCCGGTATAACTCCGGCGAGAACCTCGTACATGTCCAAGATCCTCATAAGCTTCTCCGGCTGGTGTGGGCCCACGGCGACCGCCTCGCAGAAATTCAAAAGCTGCAAGACTGCAGCTTTTGACGACTCTGCAAAGCAAACGGACCCCACCGAATCGAGATCTTCGAATATCCGTTCGGCTAGGGTTTTCTCGCTCGCGAGGTAGACGCGCACGAATAGCTTCATTGCCCTAATCCAACTCCTAATTTTCGAGTTCAATAATTTCCACTCCATTTTCACAACTTCCTCGATGCTCAATTTCTCCACCTCGAGTATAAAAAGACAGTCATCGAGCGCGTCCCTTTGGACATTCGCAAACACTTGAGAGCACTCGCGCCCGTAATTCGAATCGAACATCAAATTGGCAATGCTTTTTAGGTCGGGGATCACGTCCACGTTCACCAGCTCGATGACGTAATCCACCGATGAGCGGCCCATGCTATCCCGGTGGACCGCCGCCGCCGCCACGTCATCGACCGAGTCATCTCCAGAGGAAATAACGGACCCCGCCTCGATCATACTATCCTCTTCACTCGAACGGAACGACATATGCTCCGGTTCGAACGGCTGCCTGTTTTGGACAAGCAAGTGGCGGAACTCGTCCTCGAGCCGATTCATTCCTGTCTGGAGAAGGTCGTGCGCCCTACGAAGAAGGGTAGAATCGTCATTTCGGCTGTCCGGGCTCCGATTTTCCAAAACCTCCGTCAATCTACGAGATTCTTCGACGGCTTTTAGGTACTCGAATGCTTCGTCGGGCCCACAGTCCCAAATCATCGACTCGTCCTTCTCCCAAACCATGATTTTATCGGAAATTCGATTGAGCTGCAGCTCGATTTCGTTGTGTTCTTCATTGGATTCGACTTCGATTACTCTGCTTTCGGCGAACAACGAGGTCATATTCGTCAATTGCAATCCGAGATTTGCGAGGATTTTTCGAGCATCTTCGGTTAGATACTTTTTAGATTCCAATGCCTTCAAAATACGCTGAGCTGCAGCAATCAATTCTTCTTCTGCTTCTTCCATTCCAGATTCTGTGGATGCATTATTACAGTCTCCCATATCACAACAAACCCTAGGTTTAAACAATTTCTTCACAAATACCCCCAATTCTTCAGAAATTTTCACAAATAGTACCAATTCGTAACCCTAAACCTCAAATAATCCAGCTCAATTTTCACAAATTCAATATAATCAAAATATCACAACTATTCTTTCAAGTTTCAAGCAATAACCCAAAAGAAGCACGAGATATTTTGGAGAGAGAAATTACCCTTCTATTGAGTAATGATCTGTGGAGCTGGAAAAACCCTGCTTTAATGGCTGATCCACAATTAAAACTCTACTCGATCTCTCTTTTTTTTTTTTTTTTTTTTTTAAATCTGAAGCAAAAGAAGAAAAGAAAAAAAAAATCCCAAAAAAAATCTTTGTTGTTTTGCCTTTCTGAGTCTTGGCGGAAATATTATATATTAAATATTATAATATTAAAATATTTGATAAATTAGTCAATTATATTATTTGCTACAGTATATTTAATTAATAATTGCTTAAATCTTGTTGGATAAAAACATTGGATTTTACAGGGAAAGTGAAATCTTTTGATTCACCTGAGTTTGAAACTTCCTATATTTTAACCTGAGCTATGTGTCCTACTACTACTATATATATATATGCATGTAATTATTTTAATCTTCGTGCACAAAAATTCTGCAAAACTAAAAAAATAAAAAATTAATAATAAATTGTAAAATCTTTTTTCGAGGAAAATTATTTATTTATTTATTTATCTGATAAATATGAGGTGACCCTGTTTGCACATGCTAACTGCTAAAAGGCAGACTAGGTTTGACCTTGATTGCTTGACAATTTGACCAAGACTCTGTTATTTTGGTTCTCTCTCTCTCTCTCTTGACTGTTGTTGTATGTTCTTTGGCATTTTTTTTTTATATTCTTGACATTTATTTCTTACTTCTCAATAATTCAAACCATTGATTTTTCAATAAATTGGTCATGAATTTGTTTTTATAGTTGCGTATATAATTGATAATACATATATATATATATATATATATATATATATATATATATATATATATATATATATATGATGATGATGACCTCAATATTATAGGTATACATGATGAGCTCAATATTACAGCTATATATATATGTTTATATATTATTACACTTGGGTACGTTTATTAGTTGCAATCAGCAATTATCACCCTACCTAATTCAATTTCAATTAGTTAGGGAAAAATTGACCATGACCATGACATTCCCACCCATGTATGAATAAGAGGAATAACATAGTTTATTTTATTTTATTTTCTTTTAAAAAAAATTTAATAGAATGAATAAACTCGCAACCAACCATATATTTGCATTGGATAGATTCTACACTCTCGTAATAGCTTGCAAAGCATACGAGAGACGTGAACCGCAACTAGGTTAATCATATGTGACAAACTTCACGTAGCGACCGTTGACAAGAAGATTCGAACATGATCAGTTGATTATAAAATTATATAAGATATTTAAGAGTTTATAAGTCCATTCAAAGTGTTTTGGTATTTATTTTTGAGAAAAAATCTTACAATAAAAAAGTTAAGTTGTCGGAGAACAAATATTTTTTATTTTTTTTGAAGTATCTTTATCCTATATTTTTATTCAAAATCTTAAAATGAGTAAAAATTACTCATAAAGATCATTATTTAAAATAAGTTAAGCCAAACTCGCATATGTTTGACTTAAATGCGGATAACGACTAGTTTTCTTTTTTTTTTTTGAGGATAATAACGACTAGTTTTCTAATCTTATACAAAAAGTCCAATTTGGTGTATTGGATTAATAATTGACCAAATTTTGGCCGGCTAATTGACCGAATTTGGATAAATTAGAACTGCAATTTGGTCTTAAGATAATCGAACCTTGCTCATTTTCATATTAAATTAGTTACTATATAGTTTTCAAAGTAGAATAAACTACACAAAAATACCCTGAAATCATATTTATAGAGCGTTAAATTTAATTATGATAATTAAGTGACATTTATATTTATTTTTAGCCTCTAGGTTGAGCCCATGAAATTGGGCCATTTTTTTTTCTTAATTATTGAATATCCTTGGTCTTTTATTGCATAATTGTAAGTTGGGTCCGGACCAATAAAATACGAGTTGAACTTTGAACTTAAGCCCATCACAATTATACTTTTATTTGAGTTATTTACGAAACAACCCCTCATGTTTTCATAATTCCACTTCCTGCAATTTATAAATTTCTTACATTAACACACACCCTTTTGTAGGTGCTGAATTTAAGAAATTTACAAACTGCAAGGGGTTGGATGTAATTTCTCAACAAAAAGGGTTTTACTTTGTAAATTAATTTACCCTTTATTTGAACACGCGACACATTACGATGTTTCTATAAAGGGGCATGCTAAATCCCACGCATAAATTAAAAAAAATCTCTCTCTAACTTTTTTCTATGATAATTTTTTCCAAGTTACTCAAAATTTGGTAATTTTTCACTTGAATAATCATAAAAAGTGAGTTTAGGTTTAGTTAATATTTTTCAATTTCATTATGACTTTTTAATTATTTAAATTCATATCAATTCAAATTTTTTTTCTCAAAGTTCAACTTTATTTTAGTTTGAACAAATGAAGATTTTTCTCAAATTCAAACTTGGAATGACATGGACGTTTTTAGTGCGTGATTTTCTGAAAAAAAAAATCGGGAAAAAAAAAGTAGGGTGGGGAAGGAGAAGATGAGATTTTAGAGAGAGAAAAAAATTCAATTATGTGTATGATTTATTAAATTGGTGTGGGATTTAGCATATCAGTTCTATAAATTATCCAAAAAAAAAAAGTAATATCTTCTAGAAATTTAACAAATATTGAAAAATAATATTTTCATTCCCAATCACTCACCAGACCAATTAAGTTGGCAATTTATGCCAAAGAACATCTTCAGTTTCGGTTTACAATTACCATAAAGTTCCCACTAGTACATTAAAAAGTAATGGGGCCAAATTACAATTCAAGACTTAGGGAGGGGCTTCCCCTGCAAAAAAGATCTAAATAGTTGAAACGCAGCTCTGGGTTTGAACATAGGCACTTCGTGGCCTGCTCCTCTCACCGTTGCAAACGTCAGCCCTTTGTACACCTCAGTCCACCCTCCCACCTATTTTATTAATTCATCACATTAAATTTAATTTAATTTAATTGTTTTTTTTTTTTAATTGAGATAAGGAAAATAAATTAATAAATAAATATCAAAAATTGAATTTTAATTTAACGTACCTGTTTTTTGACATACCAAGGATACCATGGAATTGTGGTATCTAACTTGAGTTGGTTCAAAGAATATCTAGTCGCGGTGACTGGCACAACTGAGTCTACGTCACCACTGCAATAATAACAATAATAAATTATTTTTAGCCTATTAATAAAAATAATTAGGAAACATTATGAGAATCCCCTTAACTTAGGCTAAATAACGAAACACACTCCACATATCAGTAATAATCAAAATTCCTCTTAGATTAACTGTTGATCGAGTTTTTTTAACATAAAATATGTACATTCTATTATACATTTTGTTAAATATGTGAGAAATAAAAGAAAGTATCTGAAATTGTGTAAAGTCTAATATTCCATGGAATCAAAAAAATAAATTGTAACGGGTTGGTGTAAGACGAAAATAAACATCAGGGGATTTTTGATAATTACAAATAGGTGGGGGTGTATTTCATGATTTAGCCTAAGTTCAGGGGTTCGTAATTGATCCAAATGAATAAAAATCCGAATTTATTTAATTTCATGGTATAAAAGTAATTAATAAATCCAGATTAATATTTTAACTGAATTACCTAAAAACCCAGATTCTTAATCCAGCAGCAATTAGCTCACGGTATATAGGAAGAATTGAGCTATCTGTGTCATTCCAATTGCGGTTCAACGTTTCACTGCACAATCACAACACAAATAAGAAAATAAATAAATAAAATACTAATAAATAAATTGATTTAAGCGTAAATTATGAAAAAACCCTGAACTTTGGCTAAATAACGAAAAACACCCCCACATATCCGTAATAACCAAAATCCCTCGCTGATTAACTGTTGATCGAGTTTTTTAACATAAAATATGTACAGTTATACCTTCTGTTAAAGTTAAATAAGTGAGAAATAAAAGAAAATATTTGAAATTGTGTAAATTCCCTGGAATAAATAAAAATCTATGAAAAGTCACATTGTCAGGGCGGGTGGTGTAAGACGGAAACGAACATCAGGATTTTTTTTTGGTAATTAGTCAAAGTTCATGGGTTTTTTGTAATTTACCCTTGATTTAATTAGTTAAAATTTCTAAAAAAATTTACCTGCAAGCAGTCCATTTGTACGGAATCCGGCCGGTGGTGTTTGCATGGAGAGCTTTCTGCACATCTGCCCTATTATAGTAAATTTCTGCGTATTTCTCCGTACAAGGATCGTACCCGGATAGCTTCTCTCTAAAAACCTAATTTTAATCCGCAATTAAAGTTACTAAACCAAATTTTGCATTAAACCCTAATCATGCAAAGACGCGCGATTGTAAAACACGTACAGAGTGTGGTCGGTGGGGGAGGCGCATGTGGTGGCGCGTGGGGCCGAGGCGGCTGCCGTCGGAGCGGTTGCAAGGCGGGGAGTAGATGTTGTACTGGTCGATGCTTCCGAATTCCTGGTCCATGGCGTAGTAGTAGATGGACTCGCACTCGTTCGACTCCTTTTGTCTCTGGAAATCGCACGTGCTCATCAGCTGGTGGTAGGTCTTGTCGGAGATCATCGCGTGGCTCCACCAGTAGTCCACCGTGCCTAGGTTGTCGTAGTAGTTGTCCGTCACTGCATTTCCCACCTGAAAAAAATAATATTAATATTTCACTCGAACTTTGAATTTTAGCACTTGTATAATAATGTAGCTAACAAATTAAACTAGCTGATTTTTATATGCAGACGTTCAAAAACTACAAATTCTACTATCTATAACTTAATTTATATGTCCGTTTCCTCACATAATTAAAGTTCTATCGATGCTATGTTAGAAGTCGAATTTATAAATGTTAAGCGTCTACATAAATAAAATTCATCAAGTTTATTGTGTCATAAATTAAAAATTAATGCAAAATAGGACAAAAAATACTGTATTTGCAAAGTTATTGTATGTAAAATTGAAACATGATAAGTTACATGACTAAATCCCTAAATAGCCTCACATAAAGGACCAAACTACAAAATTCCCTATAAATTTACACGATGATTCATTTTTTTTTAATAATTTACTATGTTTTCTATGAGCAATATAATGGTGTAATGAAATGTTAATTAATACTTCATATATATAATTAAATAATTGTAAAATGAAAAATGGAAAAAGGAAATTACCATAAACCCCTTTAGGTTAATTTTGTTCTTAGTGTTTTTGTTGTAATTAACAATTTCTCTGGCCAACTGTGGTACATAGTGTCCGGCATAACTCTCTCCGGTCAAGTAAACTTCCCGGTTTCGATAACGAGGGAATCGATCCAACCATCGAACCAGAAATTCCAGCGAATCCTTGGCTGAAATTTTTCCGATTTATTAAAATTATGTAAGTATAGTATTTAATTTTATCAACATAAATAGTAATTAGGGTAAGCCATGTTTACTATTTAATTAATTACCGGTACGACGATCTCCGGTGTCGAAGAGGTCGGAAGAGCGGTTGCTGTAAGAGAAACCGACACCCGCCGGAGTTTCTAAAAATAGCAAGTTTGCTAAAATGTTCCACGAAAATTTGTTCAAATATAAACCCGAAGATGTTTTGCTAATTTTGAACGGTCCGATTTCTTCCGATGCACCATACGCCACCGATGAACATCCCGGACCTACATATATATTTATTTTAATTATTATTAAAATAAATAAAAATGTAATAAAATTAAAAGATTTCAAGAATTAAAAAAATTAAAATTTTAATGTTTTAATTTTCAAGTGGGGTAAAACTAAACAGTTCAATTCCTTATTATGTGGCCAAAATGGTGTGAACTATAGACATATATTTAATTTTTGTCCTAAAGTTTATATATATTTTTTAATTTTCTATATTTCGAAATCCAACCTAAAATAGAAATGTGAATGATAATATATGTTTGAATATTTATATAATTATATATGTATATATGTGTGTGTGTGGGACTGTGTGTAATATAACCTATTCCCTAGTGCAGCAAGCATGCTGACAAATTTAATATACTGCAGAACTGTAAATGGGTAGATGACAATAAATGATGAGGATTGATGATCTGATGAGTTAGCTTCAAGCATTTATTTTTTTCTACACTAATTATTTATCATCTAATATTTAATTTAATATTTATTACCCCATGCATGAATACCAAATTCTGATTTTGCTGCCTTTCAAGATAAATGGGGCCTCTCTATATAAAAATAATTTCTGTCTACCCTAAATATAAAAATAAATTAAAATTAGTAATCGAGTATATTTATATTTAATCATATAGCACAAACATGTTTTTTAATCTGTAATTACTAATTAGCCAGAAAACACACACACACACACACGAATGCACTCTGCCTTCTCGAATGCATGATTTTCCTACAACATATGCATATGCATATGAAGGCAAAATTTTCACACACAGTATGCGTGTGTGTGTGTGCGTGTGTGTGTGTGTGAAAGAGAGAGAGAGAGAGAGAGAGAGAGAGAGAGAGAGAGAGGGGGGTAAATATGGTAATTAATACCTCCGTTGAGCCAAACCACGAGGGGTTTGGATAAGGGTTGTTGAACAGACTCAGTGAGCCAATAAAAGAGGGCTCTGCCCGGAACTTGGCTGACCGTAACGTAGCCGGAGAACTGCTGAAAGTTAACTTTAGGCTGCCCGGGGAGACCTGTAATCCGGTCAGCTTCTTCTTCTTCCAAGTGTGTTGCAGAAGCAGCACTATTTACGCCATGTAATAACAAAACAATTGCTACAAATGAAACAAAACAATGTTTTCTTTCCCTTTTAGCCATGAAATTGAACATGGCTTTTTAAGAAACAGAATGTTTCTAATCTTTGTTATACTGTGTCTAAAACATACATATATATATAAGAGAGAGAGAGAGAGAGAGAGAGCGCTTTAATTTGCTTGGAGTGAGGTAAATTTAAGGATAAATTACGGTCACCCTTCAGTTATGGTTAAATTACAAAAATCTCTCTTTTGTTTGTGTAATTACATCAATCCCCTTAACTATGTATTAACATACGAAAACACCTCTCCATAGTTAAATTTAGGGATGTGAAATCGATAAAACCGAACCGAAATTTCGGTACGACAACATTTCATACCGTTTAGCGAACTGAATATACGATTTGGTTCGATAAACAACCTAATTACATAAATTTTATGTAAAAATATTTAAAAGAAAAAGATGACTGTAATTATCCAAACAATAGGGATTTTTTGCAATTTAATCTTACCTCAGTGTGGACATAATTTTCCCAAAATTTAATAATAATATATGCTAGCCCAGCCCATGTGTGTATTATCTACAAATACTTTGAGATTTTCTATATTTTTTATTTTACAAAATATTATTAAATAGATATACTAATTTGTAAAGTATAAACATTAATATTTTTTTTAAATTATTTTTTATGAATAAATCTATTTTAATTTAGTGTAACTAATTATAATTACCATATACCTACAACGTGATCAATTAAATAATGGCCACCAACTTATTTAATGGATGATTGGTACATACATGTCAATTGAAAGTGAATTAAATATTAATTGCGTCTAACATGAAAATAGACTCGAGTAAATTTCGAGTGAAAATGATTTTTGCTGCTATAATTCAAATATATATCCCAAAATATATATATTATTAATTATTGGCTATCATATTATAAAACTAACTTTATGGACAAAAGGTGCTGAATTTAAAGCCGTGACGATGGCTTTTTCTTTATTTTTATTTATTATTTATTATTTTTTTTTGATAAGTTATTTATTATTTATTAGAAAGATGTTGAAATTGATGATGGGCAATCCCAACTAATAATTTTTAAATCCTTCCCCAAATTAGAAAATATTGTTAGTTTGATAAACATAAAAGCAAGCTTTTTCTTCATTTCCAGCTCATATTTTCGCTTTCAGTTACTACACTCTATACATATTGTTTGTTTTTTTTTTTTTTTTTATTATTAACACCATTTTATATATATATATATATATATATATATATATATATATATATATATATATATATATATATACTGATTGAGAGCCGCAGAAACCTTGAAATGGTGGAAAAAAAATTCATGTGAACATTAATTCAGACAGCTACTTCGATCACTAATTATTAATTAATTATAAGCTAAGTCGAATTTCTTTCCCTACAAGCATAACGATTAACGAATTTTAATTTTTATGATAGACACTACCAGGGCCGGTTCTGAGGGGAGGTGAAGTAGGCGGGTCGCCTAGGGCCCCATTTTTTAACGAAAATTTAGGGCCCCTAGATATTTTTATATACACTTTATATATCAGTATTTATTTTTAAAATTTATTATATATAGTATTTTGCAACATCAATTCTAAAATAAATCTAAAATTAGTGATCAAGTAGATATTTTTACAATACCCTTGGGACCCCTAAATATTAAATTTATTATAATATCTTAATTACTTATTTTATTCCTAAAATTTGAATCAATATTCATTAGTTTATTCAAGTTTCTTTTTATAAAATATTTATAAAGTCTATTTGCTATAAAAATTATATGTCAAAGTGAACCAGCAAATCATTAGGTTTATGTTGAAATTTTTCCATATTTTTAATTATTTTATATTCATACATTTCAAAAAACAAAAAAATCGGGGGCGCCGCCCCCGAACCCCCGTAATACTTTTGTCCATCACTTTTATGAAATGTTATTTAATTCTTTTAATATATTCAATTTCGAATACCCTTATAAACAAATTATTTTAACAAATAGGGGCCCCATTTTGAATTATTCCTTAAGTCTCGCACAGGGCCCCGAATTCTCAGAAACGCCCTGGACACTCCTACTTCTGATTACTAATTAACGATAGTTAAATTTTAACTACCATGCATGAATTACATATTATATTTGTTTCTCAGAAAAAGGTAGTGATCGGTGGCAAAAATTAAAATTACAAATACTAATTAATATTAGTCTAGTCCAATCATAGTACAGTAATGTTGACCAATCGTTTGACTTCCATCCAATGGTGGAATTAATTTTGAGGAGAAATTGTAATAAAGTATGAAAATATATATGGTAAATTATGAAACCCCCCCTAGACTTCAGCTAAATTACAAAAATACGTCCATCTATCCGTGATTACCGAAATTCCCCCCGAGGTTTGTTTCCATCTTACACCGACCTCCTTAAGGTGTGACTTTTCATGGAATATTTTTTATTCCGAGTAATATTTCTCAAAAAAAGCTGATTCTATTCCTACAGAACTAACATTTTTCGGGAAAATATTAACTAGAATTAAAAAGATTCCATGAAAAATTACATCCTAACGGGGTCGGTGTAAGACGGAAACAAACGTCGGGGGAATTTTGGTAAGTGTGGTGTTTTTCGTTATTTAACCTAAGTTAAAGGGGGTTTTCGTAATTTACCCAAAAATATATAATCATTTAGTCATGCATGTAGATGTTATTTATATATATATATATATATATATATATATATATATATATATATATATATATATATATATAATTTGATAACAAAATTAGTAAAGAGATCTTCTAGATTTTTTATTTATTTTAAGTTTATATTTATGTGGTGTTCCTTGTTTTCTGGGCAGGAAAAAAGGAGCAGAAGGTCAACAAAATTATGAGAACTTGTTTTCCTCGGTCAACACGAACTATTAGATTTCCTTATTTTATTTTATTATATTTATGTGGTGTTCCTTGCTATTTTTATTTTATTTTCAGCTGTAATATCAAATGATTGCTTTGACTCCATCTTATGTAGGTGTCGGAAACTTACTGTAGTTTGTTTAATTGGAGTTCGAAAATGAAATAAAACAATTTCTTAAAGATTTTTTTTTTTTTCGGATTTGAATCGACGGAATTAATTCTGAAATTTCATTTTTATTCACCTATAATATAAAATGAAGGATACTGTTGTCCTCCTTAATGAACTAAATCGACTCTTCTTATACGAAAACTCTCCATATCAATATATAGTTAGTGTTCGTTTTGACAATTTTAATTGCGGAAACCAAAATTAGATGGTTTTGTGAATTAATCAATCAACGATTCGAAAAATGTTGACTAGGAACACAAAACAACACAAGGAATTGAATGAACAAACTCAAAACAAGATACAAAATGCCATGCGCGTGAGACGGTTTTCCGGCTCAAAATGCAGCTCAAGTGGCAGTGGTCCCCTTAGTTCGTTGTAACTGCATGTCCCGAGCTCATCTCCAATCCACCTACAGTATGTATTCTCTCCAATACCGTGCAGTGCTACTTTCTCCATTGATTGTGTGAAGATGAATCTGAACCGTTCATTTCAGATGGAAAATTGGAATATCATGTAAATATATATAAATAAAGGGCAGGATTTCCAAAAACACTAGTGTTGAAGGACCAAAAGCTAAAATGGATTTTATGAAACCCCGAGTTGGGCCGTTTGTTTACGGTTGGGCCTTTTTGCACCCTACCAATTACTTTATGGGCTTCTAAATAAATAACTAAGACTTCAATTATTCAATGAATTATTGCACAATCGTCCATCACAATGCCCAATTGAGATAGATAGTGGACATTTTTGCATTAATCAACTTTGACTACATTTAGATATAATTAAAAACAAAAAAAATATCATTATTTGTGTGTGTTTTTAGAGTGTGCCCAAGTGTGTGTCGGCTTTGACAAATTGACTAACAGTAACACCACCAAAAATGTTTCCGTTACGTTTGGCTGGACCTTCCTTTTTTTTGTCTTGACTTTTTAACGTCAATAAAAAACGACCGTTAGACCCCCCCCCCCCCCCCTCAAACGGTCACCTATGGCAACTTTCAAGACTTCTATTAAATCTCAATTTGAATCCTTGAAGAAAAAAAAAAAAAAAAGAAGAAGAAGAAGAAAAACAATGGAACAAAAAACACTTCAAACCCCTCTAAGAATCCCCACAGTTGATTTAGAAATCAAGATAAATATTCCTGACCAAAATACCCCTCCTCCTCCGACATGTAACTCCGGCAAAAACGTTACGCCCGACCGGCTCAAGGTCCCCAAGGCATTCAAATTTCCCGAAAGGTAACATCATATATTACATTCCACACTTATCTTTTAATTTCGTAGCAATTCTTTTTTTTTTTTTACGCTCGATGATCGAAAATGGTGAATTTTGATTGGATGTTGCAGATACACTAGTCCGACCGATCAGATAATGTCTCCCGTTACTAGAGGAATCCTTGCTAGATGCAGAAAAGGAAGCAAACTCTTGCCACCTTCTTCTAAGGTACACGAACACGAATCCCGGTTCAAGAATTAATCACTAAAGCACTATTCATATCTAATTATACGAAATGGGTTTCAATTTCTATTTCAGATTCAAGCGTTACACCTTCAAGAATCATAGGGTCTTTCCCAATCCGGAAAATGCTGAAAATTGACGAATATATAATTAGTCTTTATTGTTTGTGTTATGGTCTTTGTAATCTTCACTACATCTATATGCAAACAAATTCTCTTAATTCATCTGCAGTTCAATTTGAATTGTATCTAACTAACCTATAACAAAATTAAATTCAAAAAAAAAAAAAAAAAAAAAAAGAAAACATGGTACAAACAAAATCAACATTTTTTAATATCATCGACAAACCGGAAAAATTAAATCAACGTTTAAACTAGTCCAACCGAACTTGGTACCATTGAATAGAGCCAACATCACCATCGATTTCCAATTCACAGACAGACTTCACTAGGTACAAAACAGCATCGTCGATCGAATCGAATCTCGCAAGATCGGTTGGTAAATCATCACCGGGCCAATTCTCGAGCCAATTTCTCAACTTCTCACTCAATTCTTCCTCCGTCACGAATTCTTCGTTTTTGCCAGGTTCCATTAGCACATATGTATCACTCTCTGTATTAATTCTCCTCCTCCTCACTCCACATACCTAATCAAAAAATTAAATCAACTATAATTTTTATCTATAAAAAAAAAAAAAAAAATTAGTGACAAAAATTACCTTCATTGGATTGTTTGATGCTTGTTTGATTCCAAGAATATTCCCATTGTGGGGAAAGTGAAGAGAATTGGAAGAGTTGAAAAGAATGTTGGATTGTGTGGCAAATTGTGGCATAAAAATTTGAACTTTGCTAGTTAACATTAGTTTCTCCATTGAAGAGTAATAAGTATTTTGATGTAAGAAAACAGAATAAAAGGCAAGAAATATAGCAGATAAGATGATATATGCTCAAGTTTTAAACCTTTGCTTTCTTTTCGGAATTTGCCCTCTTCTTTGCAACGTATTTACGAAAAATACCTTGGTCAGAAAAAAACTAGCTCTTGTTCTATTATGCATTATGTGAACTTAGGGGTGGAAATTGGAAATTAAGAAACTTTAAAATCCCGAAATTTCCGATTTTGGAATAATATTTTTCATTCGGAAATTTCGGGGAGTTCCGGTTTTATTTTATTTTATCTGAATTGGAATACATATTAAATTCTGATTTCCAATCCGATATAAATTTTCGGAAACTTTTTTTATTATTCTCCTAATTTAATACCAATGTTATTATATACTTTGAATTATAGGTGAATAAAAATTGGAATTCAAGTCCGATTTTTTCGATTTGAAACTATTTTTTCATTGCAGTTTCCAAATGTATAGCCTTCCAATTTTTCGATTTTTTTTTTGTGAGTGGAACAGAACTAGGATTAGTTTTCCAGTTCCGAAAACTTTTGAAAATTGTTCCAAAGTGCTAATTCCAATCCGATTTTCACCCGTAGGCGAACTCCACCGAGTTATAGCCGATCATACATAAGCATGTATATATTATATGTTTTTATTGGCAAAAAAATGACAAAGGAAATATATATATATATATTTCCAAAAGTTTAGGTACAAAATCAAATTCAAACTATTGGAAGACACAACATATAGTTGGTCACAAATGAAAGCTAATCAAAATGGTCCGAAATTGATGCATGGCCTTACTTTTCAACCAACATTTTTCTTTCAAGAATAAACCCTAAAACAATCCCCTTTCATTTGCCCTAATCCCCTTTCATTTGCCCTAACTATTTTGCATTAAAAAATTTCTTTTGTTTAAAAGTTACCAACTTTATTGATTGACACATTTGATCCAAGGTTTTGTTTTTGAATCCTTGATTCTGGGTTCTAGGCGAACGGTTAAGAACCTTACCGTTTCGAAACTGGATGATTGATTCGTCCGGTTTCTTGATTTAAAAAGGTAATGTGTAGTAAAATTTCCTGCTTTATGTTTTGATATATAGATTTTGCTTATCAACAAAAACCCTTTTGAGCAAATTGTAATTATTTTTTTTTTCTTATGAAAGATTTTATTTTGGAAAGTTTTTTTATTACATATATTAGATATAACCTTAAAAAAGACAGAGTCTTGTCTGATTTCTTGCTATTAGGCAATAGTTAAAACTCTATGCTGCTCCCATTCATATTGATTCGTAATCTAATTTTCGATTCCGAACCTTTTCCCATGCACTATGCAGCTTTACAATCACTTGTTTATTGCCCGATAATATCCGGAAATCTTCGATAATCAGAGAAAGAGAGGGTGAGAGAGAGAGAGAGAAAGAGAGATGGAATCCGAGCATGCGAAAGAAACCAACGAGCACGTAAGGGAAAACCCCGAGTACAAGGATGGGAATATTCTTCTTCCACAAGAGAATATTCCAAAATTTTCATCTTCGTCTTCCTCTTCCTCCTCCTCCTCTTCGAGTTCTTCGGATTTTGGTATCCACGAAAAGGACCCGTTCGACATTTCCTCGTCCAAGTCTAAATCTGATGAAAACCCGTTATCCGATCCAGAATCCGTTTCCTCGCCCGATACCAAAACCCACACGCCGAGTTGGAGCATGCTAAGCACCTCCCCACCGACGGGGCCCACGGAGTACTCATCTCCCGAAAATTCGACCCGCCCGCAAATGAAATCACCTCCGGTCCAAACAATGGGCCAACCCACGGGTTACGACCCTAACCGTATACCCTCATCCGTTTTCTCCACTAAAGCAACAAACCCCTCCGAGTGGAGCGTGGCCTCGAACGAGTCCCTATTCAGTATCCACATGGGGAACAATAGTTTCTCGAGAGACGTGGGGATTATGTTCGGAAAATCGGGCGAACTCCCTAAACTCGAGGAATATAGCAGCAATACACATTCCAATATTAGCCTTCCTCCGGTTATTGAAGTGCCGGCTCATGAAGAAAGTTGTGTGAATTCGGACAAGGTTGTTGTGTCTAGGCTCGAAAAGCAAGATTCGGACGATAGTTCGAAAAGGGCGAAAATGGAATTTCACGCGGAGGAGAAGAAGGCTTGTAATAATAATGAGGTGGTTCATCTTCCTCCTATTGCTATGAAGGTTCCGGAATCGAAAGGAGCTTCTTCACCTTCCGAGCACAGTAATATTACTTTGTCGAATACTCCCGGAACTTCGACGAGTAATCCTCGACTTTCCGATGAGAGTGGAAATAGCAGCAGCTCTTTCGCATTTCCGGTGTAAGAAATTTTGTACATCCTCAACAATTTAGTTTCTCTTACATTGTTTTGATTGTAATGTGCTAGCAGGGGTGGAAATCTGACTGATCAGATCTGAATTATCACTTACGGAGAAACAAAATCTAATTTTTTTATGAATTAAAAAACTAATTCCAATTATGTTCCAAAAGGAAATTCGGAAATCGGATGGATTGGATCGGAATTAACACTTTTGAAATAAAAAAACACATTTTTCTGACATAAAAAAACTAATTCCAATTATGTTCCCAAAAAAAATCGGAAATCGGATGGATCGGATCGGATCGGATCTAGCACTTTCAACCAAAAATAAGTCGGAATTTGGAATGAAAGACATTGTTCCGAGAAATTGGAAATATTCTGATCGGAATCAGCGTAATTCAGAAAATACCACCTTATATGATTCCATTTTCTTTCCTTTTTGTGAGTCTAATGTTGTCTAATTGCTGTTTAGATTACTTGATTAGTACTTAAACATGATTAAGTAATGTTCTTGATACAGTTGTTTTTCTCGATTTCAGATTGGTGAGTGACGGTGGAAAAACGGGGTCGTTAAAGAAAGTCGAGGAGAAACCGGAAAAACCCGAGTTGCAAGAACAAGTTTCCAAGGCTTACATGACAAGATGGTTTTCTTGGTTCTCTTGTTGGCCTCGATGCTGTTAACATTGTAATTGTTTTTTAATTAAATCACTAATGATGTTTTTTGGTGTTTTAATTAATTACCTGGATAATTGCTTAAGACATGCTTAGCTTCAATTTAGGAGTAACAGTTCAATGTTACATTCATTGTTCTTGTTGAAACACAGGGTGTGCTAATAGTTTCTTGTATTTGAGCTTGGTTTGATAAACAATCGAGCCAAACACAAATTCAACTCAAGTAATTTAATATTTTGTACATATTTAATTTTTCTTTTTTTTTTTTCTAATTCATGAGTTTGAGGTTTAGCAAAACTTGGTAGCTTATTGAACAAAAATATGTGTTCAAATTTAGTTCGTATGTTAACAAATTGAACTCGAACACCTATTTAAGGGGCGATTTGAAATCCAATGAATGTAGAGTAATTTAATGTATTTTGATTTCAGCTTAGATTATTGGGCAAATTAAGGCCACTCCGCCGGAGGTATGACCAAATTACTAAAAAAACATCTTGTTTAGATAATTACAGCCACCGCCTTTTTAAAATATTTTTATATAAAATTTATGTAATTCAGTTATTTATCGAACCAAATCGTATATTCAGTTCGATAAACGGTATGAAATGTTGGCGTACCGAAATTTCTGTCTAGTTTTACCGATTTAACATCCCTAAATTTATCTCTGAAAGGATATTTTCGTAAGATAATATATAACTAATGAGTGATTATAATTACTCAAAGAAGATAGCGATTCGTAATTTGACCATAAGCTAGAGGGGATGGGAGTAATTTGGCCTAGATTATTTGTTCCCCCTATGATATAGTAGATACATCATACAACATTCTTGCTTATGATGTCACATGTGACACAACAATGATATCAAGATTCAAGAAATGATGTAAGAAAATTAATATCTATTTTAAAAGGTTGTCCTTTGTTTGATTTAAGTTTAGGATATTGACCATGTGCTTTTTATCATTAAAATAATCAACCACCATCTTATTTAGATACTCATTTCCAAAAGAATAAGACAAGTAGATCCAAAAGTGATTATTGTAAAGTTCGAACATGATCAAACATTTTATCTATTGTTCATTTTATACAAGATATATATATATGAAATATAATATTTTCGGGGTGAAAATCGGATGTAACAGATTTGAATTGACCCTTTTGGAAAAAAAAAATGCTTTTTTTCTCGGAAATACAAAACTTATTTTGATTTCAACTCCAAAAAAATCAGAAAATAAACTGGAATTTTTGGATATCGAAAATTTCTAATTATACTTTTTAATATATTTTCAATTTCAATCCCAGAAAAAAAAATGAAAATATCAGAAATCGAAATTTCCGTCCCAACTTTCACCGGTTGCCGGTTGGCATATTAATCAATTTTGCAGCCAAAAATACTTGGGAATAGATTTTGGTATGGGCCATTAGGAGAAAATCATTTTACATTTTTCTTTGTTCAAATTTGACTAATAATATTTTTAATGTTACTTTTCAGAAAAAAAAAATTAAAAAAAATATTAATTAATTGGTTTATAATTAAATTAAATTCATATAACGTCGGTGAAATTTGATTTTTCAACCATTCTACTTTTAATTTCTTTGAGAAAATTATACTTTAAATTTCACGTGAAAAGAATTACTTTGTCAACTTTGATGTGCTACGCTATATGCAATGATATAATTGGTAAAAAATGAGGATGATAAACGAAAAACAACACAATAAAAAAAAATAAAAAAAATAATAATACTAATTGAGGCCATGAAAATGAAAATGGAAGCAAAACCCTATTAAAAAAGGGGTGGTAGCTAGGTTTTGGGCCGTGGCTCCGGCAAGTTGAATGAGGGGAACATGCATTTATTCACCGGTATGGTCCCTTTCCTAGCTTCAGCCCCACCATTACTCTTCCACCACCAACCATCCAACCCAAATTATATCATTAATTAATTAATAATAAAACCTGAATTTAGTAAATAAAATACCAAACAAAAAAAAAAAAAAAGATGGGCAATAATATTTCTCTGCAGAACTGAAAAGGAAAAAAATATTAAAAATGGCAATTTTACCATAAATTTGCACATAATCACAAAACAATGTGTATATATATATATATTTGTAATTTTTGTTAAAATCAATTATTCATTATTTTTCCATCGATATTACCAGCCTTTGTGTGTGTGTGTGTTTTTTTTTTTCCTCTATGACTTTTCATATTATTTCTCTCTTACATATATATAGAAGTAGATTTTTTTCTTTTACGATTTAATTATGATATATTTAATTTTTCTTCATTTTAACAATCCCGGGTAACTATGCAATATGCAATCCTAACATGAAAAATAATTAGTTAAAAGTAATAATTAAAAGGTTTTAATTGAATAATAATAAATAAATAGTATTATCATTCTCTCTAGTAGTCTTGCTAGTCCAGCTTATGACCAAAATTCTGTAGAATTTTATTAAATGATAAAAAATAATATAAAAGATAAAAAAAAAATAATATAAATAATAAAAAAAATAAAAACATAGAAATAATGTGAACAAGAACGCGTTTTTTCTTCAAAGAACAGACAAAGACACAGCCCACTGTTCCTCGTCCTTCGTCTTCCCCCTCTCTTTCTCTCTCTCTCTCTCTCTACTTTCTCTCTCTAAAGTCTGCATATTACATTCACAAATTAAACTACCAAAAGCAACAAGCAATCCCTAAAAACCAGGGTTAGGGTTTGTGTTTTTTATGCTGGTTCAAGATAGGGGGAGACAAACAACGGGTCCGGGCTTCACTCGGGCTTTTTTCAGGACCCTTATCGGGCTTCATTAATGGGTCGTTTTCCTCTCGCCACGAATCGGCACCACCTCCGCACGCCGTTGGAGCTCTTGATTTTCCTTTTCGCCCTGTTCTCACCTCGAAACGACGCAGTTTCGGCGTCGGATTCCGACAAATCCGCTCTCATGGAGCTCAAGGAGTCGCTTTCGGACCCGTACGGAGTTCTTAGCAGCTGGAATTTCAACAGCCCGGTGGATCACTGCTCGTGGGCCGGGGTTTCTTGCGATTCGGGTTCTCGGGTCGTGGGTTTGAATATTACCGGTGGAGGTAATTCTCTGTCTTGTGCTAGAATTGCTCAATTTCCACTGTACGGATTCGGAATTAGGGCACCTTGTTTGAGCAATGGTAATAAAGTTAGAGTCTTGGGCAAGTTATCGGCAGCTGTTGCTAAGCTTAGTGAACTCAAGGTTTTGTCTTTGCCATTCAACGAATTAAGCGGTTCGATTCCTGTCGAAATCTGGGGTATGGAGAAGCTCGAAGTTCTCGATCTCGAAGGCAATTTCATCACGGGTTCCTTACCGACTCGGTTCGACGGGTTGAGGAATCTGAAAGTTCTGAATTTGGGATTCAACGAGGTTTTCGGGGGGATACCGTATTCTTTATCAAATTGTTCGGGGCTTCAAATCTTGAATTTAGCTGGGAATCAAATCAACGGTTCGATTCCGGGGTTTATCGGTGGGTTTAAAGATTTGAGAGGGGTTTACTTGTCGTTCAATTTGCTCAGTGGATCGATACCGGTCGAGATAGGCGACAATTGTGCGAATCTCGAGCATGTGGATTTTTCGGGGAATTACTTGGCCGAAGGTATTCCGAGAAGTATCGGAAACTGTAGAGGGTTGAAGACCCTTCTTCTGTACTCTAACATGTTGGAGGAGGTTATTCCGAGTCAACTCGGCCGGTTGAGCCAGCTGGAAGTACTGGACGTGTCGAGGAACAACTTCGGCGGTCCTATTCCATCAGAGCTCGGTAATTGTACGAGGCTGTCTGTGCTGGTGCTGTCGGATTTGTGGGACCCTCTCCCGAACGTTTCTAATTCGGTGGAGAAGCTGGCATTTACTGCCAACGAGTTCAATTTCTACGAAGGCACTATTCCGTTTGAAATCACCCGATTGTCTAGCTTGAGGATGATTTGGGCTCCTAGGGCAACTCTTCAAGGAAATTTACCTGCCGATTGGGGCTCGTGCGATAATTTGGAGATTCTGAATTTGGCTCAAAACTATTACTCCGGAAAAATCTCCGATGGTTTTAGCATCTGCAAGAAGCTGCATTTTCTCGATTTGAGCTCGAATAGACTCGGTGGGGAGATCACCGACAAAATCCCCGTTCCTTGTATGACTATGTTCGACATCAGTGGGAATCATTTATCGGGTTCTATTCCGAAATTCAGTTACGAATCTTGCTCGCCTATCCAATTCCTACATGATCTTTCGTCTGCATATGTATCGTATTTCGGATCAAGAACTCGGGTTTTTGGTGATGGCTTCTCGGTAATGCATAATTTCGGTTCCAACAACTTTACGGGCACTCTTCAGTCAATGCCTGTTGCATCCGAGAGATTAGGGCAGCAGATAGTTTACGCATTTCTTGCTGGCGGAAACAAGCTCACCGGAACCCTTTCTCAAGCTTTCTTCGACAAGTGCGACGAGGCTAGGGGTATAATAGTCAACGTGACGAACAATTTGTTATCCGGTCAAATCCCAACAGATATTGCCACAATGTGCAAGACTCTGATACTTCTAGATGCTTCGGGTAATCAACTCTCCGGAAGTATTCCTCTCGGGATCGGCGAATTGGCTTCGCTCGCCGTTCTTAATCTAAGCTGGAACCCTTTTTCGCAAGGTACGATCCCGAGCAGTTTCGGCAAGATTAAGGATCTCAAACACCTGTCTCTGTCGGGAAATAACCTCAACGGTTCGATCCCTACAAATTTCGGGCAGCTATATTCTCTGCAAGTTCTTGATCTGTCATCAAACTTACTATCCGGAGAAATCCCGAAAGAAATTGCGAATCTACGGAAGTTAAAAATCCTTTTCCTCAACAATAACAAGTTGTCGGGGCAAGTTCCACCTGGATTGACAAATATACCCTCTCTGTCATCGTTCAACGTCTCCTTCAATTATCTATCCGGACCGCTCCCTCTCAACAATACCATGATAAAATGCGATAGCTTTCTCGGGAACCCTTCTCTCCATTGCCCTACATTATCCTCAGACGAAAATCGAAGAACAGCTGGCCCACAAAACGATGCTTCTTCTTCTCCACCATTATCAACGACAACAGCTCCGAGTAAACGAGAGGGCAAGAACGGATTCAACTCGGTTGAAATCGCCTTCATAACATCCGCAGCAGCCATTGTTTCGGTTCTTGTCGCACTCGTAGTCCTCTTCTTCTACACGAGAAAGTGGAAGCCGAGGTCAAGGGTGAGCGGCGGGTCCCACAGGAAGGAGGTCATAGTCTTCAGCGACATAGGGGTGCCGCTCACCTTCGACACGGTGGTGCGTGCCGCCGCCAACTTCAACGCCACCAACTGCATAGGCAACGGCGGATTCGGCGCCACATACAAGGCCGAGATCGCGCCAGGTGTCCTCGTCGCCGTCAAGCGCCTCGCCGTCGGAAGGTTCCAAGGCTTCCAGCAATTCGACGCGGAAATCAAAACCCTAGGTCGCCTCCGCCATAGAAACCTCGTAACCCTAATCGGCTACCACGCCAGTGAGACCGAAATGTTTCTTGTGTACAATTACTTGCCGGGCGGCAATTTGGAGAGGTTCATTCAAGAAAGATGCACGTTCGATTGGAGGGTCTTGCATAAAATCGCGCTCGACGTTTCTCGTGCGTTAGCCTATTTGCACGACCAGTGTGTGCCGCGTGTGCTGCACAGAGATGTGAAGCCGAGTAATATTTTACTGGACGAGGAATTCAACGCTTATTTATCAGATTTCGGGCTGGCGAGGCTTCTCGGAACTTCAGAGACACACGCGACGACAGGCGTCGCCGGGACTTTTGGGTACGTGGCGCCAGAGTACGCGATGACATGTAGGGTTTCGGATAAGGCGGATGTGTACAGCTACGGGGTGGTGTTGTTGGAGTTGATTTCGGATAAGAAGGCGCTGGACCCTTCGTTTTGTTCGTACGGGAACGGGTTTAATATTGTCGGGTGGGCGTGTATGCTTTTAAGGGCAGGCCGGGCGAAGGAGGTGTTTGCAGCTGGGGTGTGGGATGCGGGCCCGCACGATGATTTGGTGGAGGTGCTGCATTTGGCGGTGGTGTGTACGGTGGATTCGCTGTCGACCAGGCCGACTATGCGGCAGGTGGTGAGGCGGCTGAAGCAGCTGCAGCCGCCGTCTTGTTAGATTTGAGGGAGGTGTTTTTTTTTTTTTTTAAACTGTAGGGAGGTTGGAAAAAAAAACCGAAAAGCAATTCTTGAAGTTGAAGAATTGTTGTTTTCTTGTTAGTGTTGAATTTGTAGGTAACTGTAAATTGTAGTGTTGCTTCTTCTTCCCCCAATTTGACACAAGAATGCAGATATTTTTGGTTAATTATAGTTTGTATCTTGTTTCTAATTTGTGTTTCTTTGTCGAAAATAATAGCAAAGTTCTCCTTTAAAACAGCAAAACCCGAAACTGAAAACCCGAAACAGAATCAACTACAATGTGAAGGAATTAAAAGAGGGGGAAAGGGTTGACTACAATGTGCTTGAGTGGGTGGTCAACGTTATGAAAACCACCATGGTTGAGAAATTGAGCTGGTGTGAGAAATAAACCATGGCAAACACACACTATCTTCACTCCTCCCTTTCTGTACTTGTACAGGAATCCCTCTACCTTCTTCCCATTCGCCCCTGCTTCTTTCGTCGTCACGTATGGCATTTCCGGCATCGCCGCGGCATTCGTCTCCGTTTTCGTGGTGGGCCCCACTTTGCAAGCTGAACATGCAAAAGATGAAAACAGTGAAATTATTTTCCAATGTTATTAAAATAAAATAAAATTTACAGTATATATATACCCTCTGTTTGGTGAGACGGCGGATCGGAATTGCCGTCGATGAGGTGTTCGATTGGCATTAACGGCGTCACGTTTCCGTTAATGAATTGATCGAGCTTCTGATCGTCGCCGCAATCGATTTCATACACTACGCCTTTCATGCCACTGGTGGTGTTACTACTATCAGTATCAGCATCGTCGACGACGACGGCGGAGTTTTTCTTCATCCGCGCCGCGCACTGCAGCTCCTTGCGGCGGCGCCACTCCTCCTCCGTCTGGATCGGCAGCGAGTGCGTCCTCGCCAGCGGCGGCGCGTGCTTTTCGATCTCGACGCCGCGCGCGTGGTCGCCGATCCCGTTGTCGGCGGGGCAGACGACGGAAGCCATGTCCGATATAGACGACGAGCGGTCGAGCACCTTCCTCGTAGGGTCAACTCCGAATCTGCCGTTCATCGAAAGCCCCAAGCTCAACTCCATTTCCTCGTCCTCTCTCCTCTGTTCATCTTCGTATTCTACGAAAAGGCCTCGTTTAATGAAGTTATTCAGCAGATCAGTCGAAAAAATGAGATTCTCTTTGTTTCCCTCACCTCTCTCCATCAATAATGTCGAAAACTAGAAAATAAAAAAAAATCAATTAGCTCAATTAGAGAAATAGAATAGAATGGAATTCTGAAATTACAGGCGAATTTTGCAGAAGAAAACTGCGGAAGCCATGAGAGAGAGAGAGAGAGAGAGAGAGAGTTGTTGAAGGAAGAAAAAAACACGCAGAGATGAGTGATGAAGACGAAGAGGTTTGCGGGGTGGGAGTGGATTTTAATCCATGGGGGGGTGATTGTGAAAAGACGAAAAAGGGCATGAGTTGTAACGTAAAAACTTTTGAGAAAAGACAGGTGTAGGGAGGGTTGTCCACGTGGCTGTGAAGAGCAGTTTTCGAGGATAGATATGCATTTATACGAAAACAAGGGTCTACACCCCGCTTTCCACTTCTTTTCATTTTCTTTTTCGACACGTAATCCCCAGCATTAAAATAATGGTTTAATTCCAATATCCCGAAAAATTAAATGCTACACCTGGTTATTTATATAGGGGTGATATGGAACTGTAGATTATGTAACTATAAACCGGTCTATTCTATGCTACACCCGTGTGTATGTATGCCTAGTGATTAGTTATTTAACCAAATCCTTCAAATGTAGAATTTTGCACTTCGCAACATTGAAAAAAAATAATACAGTTTACATCATCGAAACACAATAAATCTATTTAAAGTAAATGAAGATAATTTTATTCTTTTATTAGTTTTTTATTTTAAAATGCAAAATAAAAAAATAAAAGAATATCTAATTGATGTGATTCACATCGTACCAAATTGGCCCATGCTTCGATGTTATGTATGAAAATGATTAATAAATTAGTAGATTTGACAACATTAGTTTTCGGTCCTTTGACCCACGAGAACTGACAAATGGACATGTCCTCAAAATTAGTTTTCGATCCAATGAAATAAATAATTTATTGCAAGTTGGCCGGCCAACCTAGTAACCTTAGCTTATTGTTCGTAGCCCAATTGACGATCTCAATTATTTTTTTCTTCTTTTTTTTTATCTTTTTTTTTAGTTAGAGGGATATATCAACTGTAGAGTAACCACGAGGTTTTTTTTTTTTTTTTTTTTTTTTTTTTTTTTTTTTTTTTTTCTAAAAAATAAAAAAGCATATGCCCTTAAGAATTATTACAAAAGATTTTCAGAGATATTCAAACTCCAACTCGACCTTATACCATTGAACAGTTTGTACCAATTAAGAGAGTGTTTATATGTTAAAAGTAAAATTTCATTTGAACAAATTGTGGCATGATCTGAAAATGATTTGTGTAAGGAGATGATTTTTAATTACCAATTCAGCAATCTATCAGCAACTAAACATACCAAATAAAAATTAATTTTGTTTCCCCCTCCGTCGTACGCAGCATTTCAGTTAAAGCTAGTTACATTCCCCTAAAGCAGCGAGCGAAAACCCTCCCTAGACGAAAAAATTGACTGGCTAGTGGTACTACTACTCTAAAGTCTAAACGCCGTTTTTCATTCTGTGAAGCAACTCCCATCTTAAAAATTTCCGAGGATTGAAGGAGAAACGAGAAAAAAAAACTGACAAATAGTTACCATCACTTACTTTCTTTCTTTTTTTCGTTCTGTTACGTCAAAACTTTGCTTCCAATATTTCTCACCTCCACCAAATTTACGTCGATGACTGAATAACATCATTAGGGGTGGAACGATGACCGCCCCTACCTCTTCCTTGTTGATAACCATCTCCACCACGACCCCTGAAGCTATCGCTTCTAACGTAGCTTCGACCACCACCACCACCACCACCACCAAAGTTTCCACGACCCCTGAAGTTGTCATTACGGAAGCCTCCTCGCGGGAAATTAAATCGACCCCTCCCGCTGCCACCTGGCAGTAACAAAGGTAATATCATAAAGTTAATATTTCACCAGGTATATTTGCTTATGATGTATGGAATATCGCGCATTTTTTTTGTAATATTGAGTACTCCATGATTCTGGAATTTGGAATGTAGATACTGAAAAGTTAATGCTTCTGCCTCACCTCGAGTTGTTGTCCTCTTTATCTCCACAGTAGCTTGATAATTCCCAATAGTTATAGGAGATGCCTGAAAAGTTAAGCAATATTAGTGCAAATATATATAGAGAGAGGGAACATAATTTTAATCGTAATATCCACGGAAAATCCAGCTAGTAACTCTTATGGTAAATTTCTCCAGTGTTCGAAAAATCAGGCCATGGGGTGGTTTTCATGAGAATAAGCATAGAACAGGTCATTAATAATGCAACCAATCTTAAATCAATCGAAAAATAGAGATATATGTTTGATGTGTAGGATTATAAAACTGGGAATCTGATCAAAATGAACCAATCAAGTCGTATCAAAAGCTATGTGAAGACTACATTGATTCTAAGGAGTTTCTAGACTCTTAGGTATAAGATCGAAGAAGAAACTGGATAATGTTTTAGGATATGGACTTCACTATTGACCGCTAAATGCACGATGATCTTTACTGGAATACAAAGATGGAGAAGCTGGCTAACCATGGTTCCAAGAGGTGAGGTAAAGAGAAAATGATAAAAGAAAATAGTTTGCTTTCTCACCCAATTACAGGATCATTTTAGAAGATTCACGAAACTTCCAGGCAACAAAACTGCCAAACTTTGCAATTTGAAAATACAATTGTATTGAAAACATTATGCTCGATGAAGATTTTATAAGTACCTTCAACTGTAATGGGATATTAGAGACTTTTAGGCAGGTTAAAGAAGTGAAGTGGGTAAATGAAGAGAAGGATAATATGAAAAGAATGAAAGTAGGAACAGTGAAGTCTAAGTTTCTAGGCTTATTAATGTACATAGATCCGTTGTGCTAATAATGTAACAAAAATGTCTCCAGTTTAGGAAGAGAGGAAAGACAAATTCGATTGGAAAAAACCCCATTTACGTAGAAATGTATGAAATCAAGATGAACTTGTCTCCAAATTTTAAAATCCCATCCAAACTTACAATGACTCATTTGTCCTCGGAATTAACATACAGCATAAAGGACATAAAGCAGCTAAGAATGAGTGAGAAAAATGATGGGGAAGAAAACATAAAGCTTTCTGAAATGAATTTACATGTCACAGACATTTCAGCATTCAAGAAACATGTAGGACATAGCTATTCGTCAGTATTAAGGTGCTAAGTCACAACATAGTCTTAAATCCGAATGCAATCTCAAAACAAAAGGAGTGAGAAGAAGAATAAGATGCACAGAACACGCATACCTTAATTGCACTTTGCATGGAGCTAAATTCTTCAAATTCAACAAAGC